CAATGGGTAAGCACACAGTGGGCGGCAGAGCGCTGGGGGGCTGCATGGAGGTGGAATCACAGCGTGGCTGAGGAAGTTGCGGGTTCACCCGGAGCCCGTGCCCAGCTCCAGACACCTCCAGGCCTCTGGGCAGCCTGTTAACACCACCCTTGCCCCTGCAAAGTGCAATCGTGGGCCTGTTTGGAGCACCCCTCGCGTGGCAGAACCCGAGTCCTCGTCACAGCATGCCATGCTGCCCTGCAGTCAGTAATCGTCGTCATTAAAAACCCTCCCTTGAGTTTGGAGGTACAGTAACAACACTGTTAATGGCACTGGTGAGGATTTCAGTATACATACCTATCTTTCCTTATCTCTGTAACCCAAAAATCCTTCTTTTTTTTTTTTTTTTTCCCCCTCCCTCCCCTCAATTCAAATATGGAATAGATAAGAATATTTTTCAACTGTCTCTTATGCACAAATAAAACTACAATGTTCTATGAAATATCTTAAGTCTCATAATAGAGGTTGGGAAATAAAGACTAAGCCTACTAAGTACTTGATTTTAAAAGTTCTGTGTGATACTTTCTCTTCTCTGTCTGCAGATAAAGATCTACAGTTTCACATAGTTCAGCAAGCTAGAGCTCAGAGTGCCAAAGAAGGCATAGGCTACACTGAAGGTAAGTGGCATCCAGGTGGGGAAACAGCTTTTCAGCTGTCCTGTGGAGAGCTGCTCGATTTCCCCTTTTGAACCGCTGTGAGAAATTTTCATTTATTTATTTGTTTTTTTAAAATTCCTTCCCTTCTATATTTGGGAGTGCTTTCTTTATGAAGGGCAGCCAAGTAAAGAACTTGAGATAGTATCGGTAGTGCAGAACTTGGGAGTTCCCTGAAGTACCAGTCCGTCACTTCCCGTCCCACTCCACACAGCTTACTGTCCACCTGCATTTTCTGATACTCTCTTCTGCCTGTTATGGCCCAAATTCTTCACAAGCTGCCTCCCACCTTGTTCTTTATGGCATGAGTGAGGAAGAAGGGGAAAAAAGAGAACTGTGCTTTGAATTCAGTTTAAGGATTGTCAGTTATAAGCTGTGCACGCTCGTCTATTGCTTCTTAGATCAAAAGCTGAACAGTGCATGCATTGGTGTTATGTTGAATTGTTTCTAGACTCTTTTAAGTAGTTACATAATAAATATGTTCAAACATCTGCAAATACTATAAAGTTCTTTACCGCTGGTCTCACCACATTTCTTTGTCACATTGTATAGCAGGTCTAGTGACAGAGTAGTTAAGACCAATTTGCACTTCTTGTAGAGAGTTGAGATAGAGTAGAAAAGTGGGGCCACCTACAGGAACTTTGTTGTACTTTCCTGACCTGATGTTCAGATACAGCAGCACTTGCTCAGGCAAGTATTTCATATCCAAGAATTTTCATGTTCTTGCTTCTGTCACAGAGCAAAGCCTTTGTGTGATTGGCACTGGGCTTTTATAGCATGTCAGGTGCATTTTGCTCTGGAAACAAGCGATAATTCACGAATTTGATACAATTATAGCCAAGTAGAGAAAAATCAGTTAAGCCTGTAAAGAGGTGCATTGCATAGATATGTCAGTGAGCCACCAGATGCCAGTGTTTGCCATCCAGTTTTCACTGCGATTTTGCATTTCTACGAAGATAACATTAAAACTGTATGGAGTAGTTTTTATTATGGTGCCTTGGCCTCTTCTAAGATGTGCTGACTTGAAATTTCTTGTTTAACTTGAAGTCTTTGGCAGTAGAGATGGGGGGGGAGGGGGAGGAATGTAGCTGTTGCTCGCGTAATAGGGCTGGAAGGCTGGTCTTGATCATAAGCTGTGAGATCATCGTAAAATCACAAGCATGTAACTGTTAGGGCATGTTTCTGGGTTTCTGTGACCCTGTAGGAATAGTATATTCTAAAAATAAAATTCTTGTATTATCCTTTCAATTTAAGGACTTCTTACAAATGTGTAAGAGAAGAGTGAACGCAGCACAGGTGTTTACTGCATTGCTGAGCTCTTCAGTGTTTTCCTGTGTAATTATGCCATTTTACTAATAACAGTGCTGTTCAAATTCCAGGATCTTATTCATCACTGCCTGTAGAAGTTCCTCAAAATCACAAACGTTTCACCTGTGACCTGACTCAAGCTGACCGACTTGCTCTTTATGACTATGTTGTTGAGGAAACAAAGAAACAGAGGTCTAGGTCACAAATCACAGAAAATGACAGTGACCTCTTTGTGGATTTAGCAGCCAAGATTACTCAAGGTTTGAAAAATAATTTACTGTTGAGTTTATTGCTCAGAGCTTTAACTTTGCATCAGTAGATAAGTTTTTGGTGAAAGCCAGCCTGAACTTTTGTTTGTTGTTGGTTTTTATTGTGGGAACACACTGCAGTTTTTTTAAATTGTATGACAAGTCTGGCACCAGGAAAGAGCAGACTGGCATTCTTTGTGCTGACAGTTCTGAGAAAGCCTTGGTGCTCTTTTGTTGACATAGGTATTGCATTTATCTTAATGGATGGATCTGCTGTCATTTGCAACTGACTTCAGGTTACTTAATGCTGACAAGTTACTGCAAAGCCTGGAACAGCATTTACTGCAAGAAATGATGAGATTAAAGGTCATTTAAAATTAAAAGCTTGGGGAGTGGTTGGTGGTTGCTGGGTTGAAATCTTGATCAATATAGGAATGGATACAACAGACAAAGCCTCCTATTGCTATTGAGACATGCCAGTGTCTCCAAGCAAAACTTACCTTTGTAAATTCTGTGGACCCTGTGTGTAGGAGAGATGGTGTTTGTCATCTACGTGGATATACATTCCTCAGAACTTGGCTGTCTCAACTGCTGTGTCTTACACTTATAGTGGCTTTGAAGATGCAGCCTGTGTTTTGAAGAGGTCTGACCAACCTGCAAGCCTGTACATTGATTTGGATTACTGTTGGGACATTAGGATCACATAATAATGTTTGAATGTTGTCTTTTTAGTCTTGTATTGATAACAAGGCTGAAGAGGAAGCTTGTGTTAATTCATAATAGCTATTCAACATTGGAGAACTTGAGGAACAACACAATGTATATATATATTTTTTCAGACACATTAGTAATAAAGCAGCAGACTTATATACCTGCAGGTGCTAATGCTGTGCTAATACCCATTTGTTTTACTTCAAATTCCTTGTTAGATGACAGTCAGAAAGGTCCAAAGTCCCATCTTGAGATTCTGGCTGAAATGCGAGACTACAAAAGGCGCCGGCAGTCATACAGGGCTAAGAACGTTCATATAACGAAGAAGTCTTACACTGAGGTAAGCAGCTCAAGGGAAAGCTGTGACTTCATTGTCTGCTTAGTTCATATCAGCATAAACCATGGCATGCCTGTTCAGACAAGGAAAGATCTCTTCTGCTTATTGTGCCCTTCCTGGTTAGAGTTGCAGACTTGCTAATAAGAGAATTTCTTTGGTTTAGTTTGCTGCAGGAAATTACAAGTAACAGAAGTATTTCTGGCAGTAGTGAATTTTTCATGTGAAAATGGCAGCAAGATACACTTTGTTGTAAAATGGTACTGTTACATTTATGCTGAAATGCTCTTCTTTAAGAAGTACATCTTGATGCCCTGCTTTGTTGTTTTTGTTTTTTAATATCTTTCTTTACTCTTGAGGTGATTCGGGATGTGATTGGTGTACATATGGAGGAACTCAGCAACCACTGGCAAGAAGAGAATAGGTTGGATAATGCAGAGATGTGTGAAGGGGGAAAGTCAAAATCTTCAGGAAGGTACATCACAGTTGACATTCAAACATTCATGAGGGATTTGCTATTTCTGTGTGGACATCAGCAGCCTGAGGGCCTGTAATGGTCTTTTTGTTGTTGTTGTTTGGTCCTCTTTTTTTGAAGAGGAAGTGGCTTAATAGGCCACTTTCTTTCTTACACTGTCAATAGGTCATTTTGTTACAGAACTGATACTGAAAAACTAGTGACTGTGAAACTGTGCTTACTGAACAAAATCAGTAATGTTTTTGTTTTTTGTTCTCTCAGAAAGGAAGACAGGCGGTCAGCTTCGGTGGACTCGAGGCAGTCTGGAGGAAGCTCAAAGGACACTGAACGCACCAGACATAGGAGAGAGAGCAGCAGGAGTCCAAGTAAAAGAAAAAGGAGTCATGACAGAGGGAAAGACAGAGATTCTCGGAGGAAAAGAGAAAGGTGAGATGAAATAGCATCAGCTACATTCTTGCTTCTGAATCAGGCCACCGTGCAGAAGAAGAACTTATTACAGGGAATAGAACGTCTCATTTAATGAAAAATCTAGTATAATCTCACATGCAGTACAACAAGCCAGTGCCTAAACAAAAGTTGCTGTGATCTAGAGCTCAGAACTTTCCACAGCTGAAAGGTCGATGCTTCCAACAGCGTTACAGGTCTGAGGCTGCTTATCTTGACATATCCCATGGGGATAGTTGGCACTGGGCATCAGTTGCATTGTTAATTTCGCCAATATAAGGCCTACTTTCTTTCCTTAGAAAAGGATATGATTACATTTAATAAGTGCTTTCTTTTTTAGGTACTTTTATTCCTTCAGATTACATTAACAACATACACGGTGTTTGCTTTCTTGTTTCAGGGAAGAAGACAAGTATCACAGCCATAAAAGAAGAAAGTAGAAACAAGAACATAATGAGTTTTTGTTCAAAGAATTACTTGCACAGGATGTACTGTTGTTACTGCTGTTATAACAGAGACTGTAATGCTGTGAACATAATGCTGGTGTTGCCTTACAGCTGTGTTCAGAGAGAAAATCAGATGATGTTCAGGGGTTGGCAGGATGGAAGCAGTGTACGTCCTAAAATGTACAAATGTATAAGACTTATGTATCTATTAATAAATTATAGTGATTTCTTAGCCCTTTGAGTTTAATTTAACAAAGGCTAATGGAATCTGAGAGAGGCTGCACTAATTTACTGTCCTGGCCCACTGATAGTATCTAAAGGTGAATGTGGTTAAGCCCTGGAGCAGCAGAATTAATTACAAATGGAAAGGGATGAAGGTAGCTCCCTTTCTCTCTACCACCTGACATTGTCACCTCTGAGAACAGCGTTCCAGAAAGACAGCACTTACTGTCACATTATGGCACGCATGGAAGGTGACAGAGCAGATTTCAGAGTTCTCCAGAAGGCTGTTACCTTCATCTGCAGCTTTCAGTAACGAAAAAGTGGTAAAAGTATGGTAACGGGCATGCTGCTGTTCCCAAGCTTGTGTTTAAAGAAATTTAGGATCAATGTCAAGCTGGTGATGGTGGTGACAGGCATCTCTAAGACCTCTACTAAGGTAGCGATGTCCCTTTCTATAATTTTATTGACTGTAATTTTCAAATGTGAGTTTGATAGATCGTGGCATTTATGCAAAGAACCCATTCAGTTTTCATCCTGTCTACTAACATGTAAGTATTAACGACAGAAATTATAAAAACACTAAGACTTCAACCATCCAAATACAGCTTATGGGTGTAAAGGAGAATTCCACTTAACTGCCGTGGGAATATACCAATTTCTAGTTTTGTTAATTTCTTACCCAATCTACTACAGTCAGCTTGTTCCTTCTATGAAGAAAGCCAACAGCAACATCTTACAGATTAGCCTTTTCTACACTTCCTTATTTTCAATCAAGCTGCCAGCAGAGGACACCCCTTAGCACTGTCATTTTGGCCTCCTCTATGGCTGTTAGGCAATACGCTCTGCACAGTGCCTGTGGGCTGCAGGCAGGCAGGAGACTGATCTTTATTAATTAAAAGTCCATCTGGGAATGAGAAAAATATTTAAATTCTGAAGAGAGTTGGAGAAGAAAAGGCTCCAGGGAGACTTCATCGTAGCCTTCCAGTACTTGAAGGGAGCGTATAAACCAAAGGAGGAATGGCTGTTTACAAGGGTGGATAGTGACAGGACAAGGGGGAATTGCTTTAAACTGAGACAGGGGAGGCTTAGGTCAGATATTAGGAGGAAGTTTTTCACATGGAGGGTGGTGACGCACTGGAACAGGTTGCCCAAGGAGGCTGTGGATGCCCCATCCCTGGAGGCATTCAAGGCCAGGCTGGATGTGGCTCTGGGCAGCCTGGTCTGCTGGTTGGCGACCCTGCACATAGCAGGGGGTTGAAACTCATAACCATTGTGGTCCTTTTCAACCCAGGTCATTCTATGATGATGAGTCCAAATTAGGGATCAAACTAGATGGAACTACTGCCATTAGTCTAGTTGATATTTTTTTCACCATCTTGGCTACGGTGTTCTTCATGGTCTTTGAGCAGCACTTGGTGAAACCATATGTTTGACGGGAGTTTGTTCATGCAGACAGGGTAGTCAAAAGACAAGCTATGCTTTTGTTGGAGTTAAAAACATATAAGAAGAAAATTGTTACTTAAGAAATGAACCAGTCTTATATCTGCCCAGTCTTCTCTAAATTTAATTTTCTATTCAGAAAGTCTAGGTAGAAAGATTAACGAAATCCATTTGATTAAATATAAACAAATTAGTGAAAGTACCACTCCCAAGCTGCAAGCAGCAGTATTTCAGAAGTGAAAAAACAATATGACAATACGTTCAATTGACTCTGATAAAAAGCAATTTCGAGAATGAAATAAAGAAAAAGGAGTGCTGGAGAAGAGGTTCTTTGTGTATTGTATTTACTTCATTTTTTCCAGCCTCATCTGGTGCTGAAGAGTCAACTTGATCAAAACCGTGTCGAGGGCTGGCTCTGAAAATTTCTGAGCAGTACCATGCCACTTTGTTTGTCACTGGAAAGGAATAGGAACCAAATGTCTTAGGACACTTCGAGGTGATAAACTGTAGTACGTGAAGCAAAATACAGTTGAGGATTACATTAACTGAGAGTGCTATTGTTAAAAAATAGTTCTAATTAGGAATCATTCTGGTAATTAGCGACAAAGAAAATTAAGTTGATTTCTTAATTTCTTAATTTTAATGCTTGTGCAGTTTTGGATTTCCATATGCATGGAATTGGTTGCAACCTAAAATAAAAGGACCAGCAGATGATGAGAAAAGTCAGTATGTGAATCTAAGCATGCCGAATTTGCAGTGCTCAGAGGACAAGGCTGTTACAGATCTTTTAAAACTGGTGAAAAACGGAGTGCATTTCCTGTGACCTGTGTGTGACTATGGGCAAAACAAGTGGGAATTTATTACTGACATGTGAATAGAAGTCTGCCGTTTCCATACATCCCTAATGCCAATTCCAGCTAGTTCTAGAAGGGATAAATGTAGTGTATTGATACATCCTTGCCTCCAGTTTTTTTTCTAAAGTTAGAGGCATCACACTGAGTTTTGTGGCACAGGCTTCATAGAACCAACGTATGTGTATTAGAGATGGTCACCATTAAGGTGATTTATTGTCTGTCCCACTGATCACACCTGTATTCTCTAGCAATGAAACTTTTGATACCATGCTAATAAGGTGCTACAAATAATTACCTTGTCATGATATGAGAGATGAATCATTCAAACAGCTTCATCATTTGTTAACAGATTGCACTTAATTATTAAGTCAAGAGAACTGGTTTGCCCATTTATTACAAAGTAAGCCAAAACTTACTTAACAGCACATAGAAGTTTTTGAGCAAAGCTGCCACTGATGGGATAGTCAAACTGTGAGCTTTTTGCTTAGCTTTCAATCTACACATCTCCTGCTGTGATGAACTGCATCAGTTTGTGGCTTATAGACAAAATTAAAGCTAAGCTCAGAGGAATTAAAAAGAGGAACATAACAGACCAGAAAGATAGCCAGCCTTCCTACTGTGATATGAAAACCAAAGCAGGATGAATTCAGGTGGGATTATGAGTAGTCTTTGTCTTTTATATCCACTGGAGGCAACCAACACCAAGACCGTTCCAAGAATGACAGTTTACCATATCTCATACAACAAAAACTGGAGAGCTGAACTATTTAAGAACAAGCTATATATTCCCCCACGTAATTTCCAGGCAGAGGTAATCTGGGGAGAAACACATTAGAAAGTTCACAGACTTCAGGTGGGAACTCCCAGTTTCTCTCTGATTCATGATCCCTGTCACAAGAGCAGCCCATAAGATGCTGATAGTTCCACTACCAGTAGCGCACAGATGATACAAAGCTGTATATAATTGCTTCCTAAGGGGAAAACTACATCACCAGATAGTGACTAAAACATTTCAAAGATGGCTAAATAACAGTTTGTCATTTCACAGTTCAAAGCCCCAAGGTTTAGCACTTACAGGAAATAACTATGTACGCTTTTGATATAACCCAAGTCAACCTTTCCTCCTATCATGGATACGCCTCAAGTGAAGACAGATGACTCATCTAAAATTGGAGGTCTATGGAGAACCCAGAGGTGATGTATAACTTAAAACTGATGCCTGAACTTTTACTTACGCGTCTTCTTTAATCTTTTGGAGGAAAGCTTTGATTTTCTCATCTGGTATGTCTCCATCGATACTTGCCAAATAGCAGTAAAGGAATGAGAACGTTTCATAGGGAATACGAGCTGCTCCACCTTCCGGGTCCTGTGTTAAAATTTCACAGGCGTGTTTCATTGAACTCAGCAAGGACTGGAAGGGGTTCAAGGAAGGAATGAGAACAGTATCAGAGCCATGAACATCTTTTGTATATCATGACAAAATGCAGACTGTAAGCCACAGAAAATGAGTGAAAATGAAATGAAGGCTTTATCATCATTAGCTAGCTCTAAATATCAAATTTCTAGCTTTATGAGGAGGCTGAGGAAGCTGGAATTGTTAAGTCTGCAGAAGAGGAGTCTCAAGGGGTGACCCTATCACTCTCTACAACTCCACAAAAAGACGTTGCGGTGAGGTGGGTATCAGCCTCTTCCCCCATATAACCAGAGATGGGACTAGAGGGAATGGCTTCAGGTTGCACTAGGGGAGATTCAGGTTGGACAATAGGAAAAAATAATTCTCCAAGAGAGTGGCCAGCCACTGGAACGGGCTGCCCAGGGAAGTGGTGGAGTCACCGTCTCTGGAGGTGTTCAAGAAACATTTACATGTTGTACTGAGGGACATGGCTTAGTGGGAATATTGGTGGTAGGTGGATGGTTGGACTGGATGATCTTAGAGGTCTTTTCCAATCTTGGTGATTCTATGATCCTGTGATTTACCAAATAGTGCAGGTTGTGAAAGGGAAACAATAATAAAGTTCTAGTAATAAATGGGAATAAAAAATACCAGAACTTTGTAAAGCTGAAAGATTGCACAGGGCCATATCCAATATGGCCAAAATGCTCCATTCTGCTACTGTAAACAAACCTCGCCATATCTGTCTATGTGTACATATGATCTCATGGGTCTACATGAATTCGCAGTGACAGTTAAGATAGACAAATCCACAAAAAACAACAACAAAAAAAACCACAACAGTTTAGCATTACTTTTTAGAAATTATATTATTTACTATTTTCCCTCTTTGTATGCAAGTTCCATTTTAATAGTGGAAAAAAACCCTACAACAAAAAGAATCCAAAAAGTGTCCAAGTTCTCTGTTGAACAAAAACATGCCTATTAGCTCAAAGCATGCTTTTAAGAAATCCTTCATTCCAAGTAGTGCCTATAATCCAATCCCTATCCATCCCAGGCTATTCAGGGGCATATGTGAAAAAATTGAGCATGGAATTTGATTGAATCAAAGGCTGGTTGGATTCTATTAAAAAAATACCTCCCCGCCCCTCCAAAAAAGAAAAAGAAAAATAAACACAAAGAAAAAGGTTTTTTCTTAGCCCAAGAAGTCATATTTTTGTCAGAATTTCTTCAGAATGTATCTATAGGAGGCCTCTCTGGGAACAGTAGCAGCTGCTCACACAATAAAAATCTCTGCACAGCCTTCTAGTCTCAGCATTATGTTACCACTACACTGCCACACACGCTTGCAGCCACTCCAACCTACTCATTCTCCGATGCAGTGCAGTAAATTTATTCCAATCGAATTTCCTGCCTTTCAAAGACAGTTTAACAGCCCAGTTGTGTCAACATTTCTTAAGAGGTGAGTCTGTAAATACACATCAGTTTTACAGAAAGATACTTCAAATGAATGGTGTTCTGAGAAAGTCCACATTATCCTAGCTTAGGGCTCTATCTGTCTACTTTTTAATCTCAGCTGCAACCCTACTTCACTTGGAATGTAAACTAAAACCAGAGGAAAAGAACGTAACAATTTGTGAGCCCTTCTGGTTTAGCAAACTGAAGTTTAGGTTTTCGTCATGCAGAGATAAAATCAAATCATTTCAATATCTGAAAGGATGGATAAATTTATGCTGTTCAGCTCCATCAGAACAGTGCCCCTGGGACTGCTTTTTTGTTTCAGTTGTTTTCTTTTTAGTGAGGGAAAGAAAAAGAAATCACAAAATACAGTTCTGGGGGGGGACTGGAATAAAAAAATATGCAGTTCAAGTGGACAAGTATAACTGCATGGCCAGACTGGGTCAACATTCACTGCTTTTTAGTAACACAACATTCTCAAAACAATATTGAGCATTTATTTTCTTCTTAGTACCCCTTCTGGAGTCTTTAATTTTATACTTCACAAGAACATCAGCTTAGTGTAAGTATTTTATAATAATTCATTTACAATGCTCTGCTGAGATTTTATTACTGACATTAGAAGAATTACATGTAGATTTAGTAACATTAACTGCTTCTGTGAAAATGTAATTGGCTACACAATTAGAAACTGATGTTTTAATTTCTCCCTCTAGCTCTTCAGTCTTTTACATTGATGTCCTAAGCACTGTTCTTCTATCGCCCCATCTCTTCCTGGGCTGAGCTGCCAGTGGACAAGCTTTCTGTCCTACTGCCACAACCCAGTAAGCTGAGGATATTACCTGCCCTTTCTGCTTAAGCTCTCCTCCCAGAATGACCTGTAAACCATTTTGACAGGCATTGTTTGTAGACGCTCTCAAAGTGACAGAGAAGCGCCTTTACCCAATCTAACTCAAAGGTCATTTGCATTAATTATTCTACGGTCTACCACATACATTACCATTAGTGGCCAGCCATGAAGGTTCCTGCTTTGAACGTTAGGCTGGAGGAGGCTCTGCGCACCTGATCTAGCTGTAGGTGCCCGTGTTCATTGCAGGGAGCTGGAATAAATTAACTCCAAAGGTTCCTTCCAACTCAAAACAGTTCTATGATTCTGTGACCATACCTCACCAAGCACGCTGCACCCAAGTGCCAGAATCTTCATCCATTCCACCTCTTCATCAAAGGTGTCCAACTGCAGGATAGCTGCCAGCTGCTCCTCTGGCAAGCACAAGTCTTTCCATTTTTCCTTCAGTTCTGCAACACTTACAGTGCCTTTAGCAGAAAGCTGTAAACAGAGTTACAGTACCACAATAAGAACAGTGAAAAAGAACGGAACTAAGAACAAAGATGCTTCCCAAAACATATCTAATTTTTGGCAGTCATCTACTGATCATCTGCCATACTTTTTGTCTGAGACAAACACATTAGCATTGTGCATTTTCTAAATGTCTGGTTGTACCTGTTTGTGTAAGACTTTAAGGAGTCCTGGGGTCAAACCAGCATCCATTTTCTGTTTTGCTGAAGGTGTTTCAATCCTCTCTTTCACTGGAAGGGGCTCACCTTTTGACAGTGCTGTAAAGTACCTAAGTGAATGGGAACAGCAAGACACTTCAGAACCTAGGATGATTGAAACTACACAGAAGTGAGTAGTCTTACACTTAGAGCTCCCTAAATCAATCTCCATGCTCCTGTAGATATGCAGCAGTGTTCAGCAAGCACTCCACATGCAGGATTGCTATTCTCCTCCTGCCCAGATCCCACCTTTCTCTTCAGTGAAAGACAGTTTCTAGATTTTACAAACTCCTTTTTATAATACTCTCATAAATTATAAGTAGTTTAACTTATTTTGCGCATTATATACTCAGCCCTTCATGGCAAAGGCAGAAAAAAAATTAATAACATCAAGAATATGCTTGCACAACCAAAGCACAGTCTTTTCCCATTGGATTGATGAGTACCTTACCAATTTATTTAGCTGATTTATTTAGCATTCCTCCCACATGCTACCTGCAAAACACAACTGGCTATATTGCAATGCTCCCATAACCATTTGTGTCAGCTCTAGCCACTCTAAAATAAAATTCAAGGATGGAGCAGAAAGAGAATTAGATACAAATCCTTTAAATTATAAGGCTAAATCAAGTACTACACTACTTTTAAAAGGCCAACAGATTGTATTACACACTGAAGAATGCAATGCTCCTCTGTACAGTCAACAAAAGCCTCAGGTCTTTGTGGTTCTGTGCTGACAGTGCTACATGGTTATGAGGATGCCATACTTACGCAGCTGACCACTGCAAAACATCATGAGGCTGCGTCCTAATAGCAGCTTTGGTGAACTGTTTCATAATATCTGGTAGCTCAGGGGGGATTTTGATCTGCTGAGCACAAAACAGGGTGTCTGGAAGAGGCATGGTCTTTTCAAGTTTGGTTACACGGACCTGAAGGAAGTAACAATAAAACAGATGTAGAATGACAAGAACTGCCTGCATATATAAGGGGAACAGTGTTTGTACCCAAATTGCCTCCTTTCTAATTGGGTTTGTAGAGAACTCACACAGCTCAGAAGGGAAAGCAGACAAGCACCAGGCAGTCTCTAAAATCTTAATCTTGGTATCAAGCAAAAGCCTGGAGATGAACTCCAACCATAGCTCTTGATTTTCCTCCTCAAGACTACTGCTATGTGTGGAACAAGCAGTACAGAACCGTTTGAGTTGGAAGGAACTCATGAAAGGGAAGTCTAGCCCAACTCCCTGCAACAAACAGAGACACCCACAGCTGGGTCAGACGCTGAGAGCCCCCGTCCAGCCAAGCCTTGTCCTTTTGGTACAGAAACTGCTGCACACAGATTAACAGATTTCTACCGAGTTCGTATAATCAAAGACACCCTGCGGCAAAAAGTCAGTAACCTGTGCTCCTCGCAGAACTAACATCAAAGAAATGCCAGAAAAGAAGAAAACTCATCGCAATCATGCATCACTCTTTGCTCACGCAGCTTTACGTTTCGGTTCCTCTTACCCGCAGCGTAACCTACGTATTGCGAGGAGCTCCCCAACACCGTACCCCGGCTCTACTGACACCCACACGTCGTCTCGCCGCCCCCGGCTCGAAGAGGCCCGCTCAACCCCGCCTCACCTCCGCCTGCGCAGCCGCTGCCCTGGCAACGAGCGTGCCGGGCCGGCTGAGAGCGGGCCGGCGGGGCAGCCGTTTGCGGCCCGCGTCGCTGAGCCGCGGGAGCAGCGCCGCATCGAACCCGCTTAGCCTCGCCGACTGGGGCGGCCGAGCGCGGGCTGCCTGTCACGGCTGAGCCACGCAGCAGCGCACAGGCCTGAGCCCACGGGGTGCCCCGTGGCTGAGAACGGAATGAAATGGCGGCCTCTGGGGAAAACAAAACAAATCATCGAGTCGTTTTGAAAAAGGGTATTTTTTTTCCCTGCCCGCTTCCCCCCCCACCCCCCCACAGTAATTATACTACAGCCTGGCCTTGAATGCCTCCAGGGATGGGGCATCCACAACCTCCTTGGGCAGCCTGTTCCAGTGCATCACCACCCTCTGTGTGAAAAACTTCCTCCTAATATCTAACACCTAAACCTCCCGTCTCATTTTCAAGGATAGAACCAATCCTAGGAAGACAGGTGAGGTGACACAAACAACCTAAATAAAGTTAAATTCCCTCCAACTCCAGTTAACATTTCATTTCTCCTCATGCCGGATGGAAATAAAAGCCCATTGCCTGTTTAGCACTAGCCACCAGTCAGTAAGTACCAACAGCAAAGCAGCAGTAAGGCACCAAAACTGGTGTGTATAGTTGTGCAATCATCATGTCACTGCTCCACCCCTCTTATTTTGGAGTAATATTTGGCCTTCGGAAATACTTCCTAAATGTGTCCATGAAGTAACTTTGATTTAAGCATCACATTTCTCAGTTTATGGTGACTTCTGAACAAAGAAATTAAAAAAAGTAAGCATAGCTTGTCACTGGAATAATCACAGACAATAACATTTTTGTAACTCTGTTATTCTTCTGTTCATTAATCCAATTACCAACTGAGGTATCAGAGGAAAAGAGCTCTAACTTACCTTAGCACATTGTAAACATTCATCTCCTTATCTGTTTTTGAGGACAACTGCTGTTCTTCATTGAAACTTTGTTATAAAAATTCAGTTCCCTGTTTCATGTCTTTATTATTTCATCATTTCTGCTGGGAACCCCAGCCATTGCTCAGACCATCAGCATCTATACATAAGGCAAACCTAATAAGAACACCGGCCCGGTCACAAGACACTTAACAGTTGAGGTAAAGACAAATGGACAAATAGTGAAGTAGAAGAAAACAAAGCCACGTTGATCAGCCTGCTAGGCAGCAAGATCAACAAACCACTGCCATCTGTGCTTTGTAGGAAAGGGCTTTTTAGAGAATTCTCTGAAGAATAACAGGGCTGCTGTGAACACTTTTACGAAGACTTTCGCTCAAGCATAGGGAAGGGAGAGCAAGGGAGGAATGCAGCCTACTGAAAAATGATGCATGCAAAGTGCTGCAATCGGTGCTGGAGCTTGCATCCTACCAACAAAGCAGCTGACAAAACAGTTACGGGCTCCAGAGGGCCCCTCAGAACATAAACAACTTAAGCTTTACCCAGTGGAGAAGAGTTAGTCAGAGAAAAGATGCAAAGCGTTAACTATTTTTAATCAATATAAAAATATTCAGCGTAAAAACAGTCCAAGCCATGCTGCAATTAAGTATGTGAAAGATAGCTGCAAAGCCATCTGACAGCTCGTGGATAAAGGCCTGTAGAACTAATGCCAGTAGACACTCAACACCACAGAGCTGGTGCAGTTAAGCTGGCAGGTAACTCCAATCCCTCCCCCTTCTAGACTTAAGATCAACAGATTGTGATGAATTCTTCTCCCACTTGAAAAGTAATGTAAAACCACTGCACGCTGTATTATTACTCTAACACAGATGGAAGTCACTGGAACACAGCTTGTCATCTGTCCTAGCAACAGCCAGCTCACTGCCAAGCTTACTATCAAGTGTCTATTGCAGGAGAGTACACACAGCACAGCAAGGCAAACTATAAAAATTTTAAACAACAATTAAAAGAAATCATTTAATTTTTTTTTTTATACAACCTTCTTTCCTAGAACATGCTTAAAATAAAGAGATAGAGATGAGATATTTTGGACTCTTACAATACAGTTTCAGAAACTTCACCCCATCTGTGAACTGTCAAGTAGTGCAAAAGCAAGCTGGAGTTTCATTTGAAACCTGTTCTCATTAACAAAGAGCAAATACAGACAGTGTAAGCTATGTAAAAATAGCTACAGTTCACATTACATGACCGAATCAACTTTTTTTTTTTTGGTTAACATCTTGACTTACAAAATTAACACTAGTAAGAAACAGCACAATGGCTTTTTCTTAATAAATTTTAATGTTAAGACCAGTTTTGATAAAAACACAAAAGTTACACAAATTGCACTACTGCAAATTCTGCATGACGCACAGCAGTGCTGCCAGTATTTGAGATTTTGGGACTCTTTACAAAAGATTTGTTAAGGTCAAAATTTTGGCAAAAATAAGAATGTAAGTTACCAATGAATTCAATCTTGTGAAAAAAATACTTGTCCCACAAGGTTCACCACTGAAAATATTCAAATGCAACATTTATGCACACCAAAAATATTTGGGGTGAATACTCAATTTAGCCTTTAGTCAGCAAGAATGAATTAGAAACATCCTGGCTATTTCTCCATAACTTCATTTAACTGGAAAAATCCTAATTAAATCACTCCAAAAGCTAATATTTGTGGTTCAAAACTAGCAGGAAAACAATAACTCTGCAAAGTAGTAGTTTCTGACCTCCTGAGAGTGAGGATCCATGCATTCTGATGCATTTGGTTTGTGCTCAGAACATGAGAGTCCAGACACCAAGATATGCACTACCACCATCACAGTCTGGACCAAACTAGCTCAAAACACATAGATCAGAGATGCAACATCAATAAAAAGAGATGACATGCTCTAAAAACCTGCCAAATGCTCAAGTCTCAGTTAGATACATTTATGGTTAAGTGCAGAATACTGAAGGACAAAGTACTAAGCCCCAAAGTTGATTGCTTCATCAATTTTCTGATTACTGCAGTGGATACTTGTGTTCTCTCATCTAGTTTAGGAAAAGCACTGCAGTTTTAGCACTGATTTGATGGTACTTAAAGCTTTGTGACACTATGCATTTTCTTTAAAAGATATATATTAAAAAAATGCTGCATTTCCATACGGGAACAACACAAACATGACTTAGTGGCTCTTGCTTGACTATCCTTGCAAAGAAACCTGTTAACTTTTTCTTGCCTGTTTAATAGCAGAGTTAATAGCATATATTTTCCTTCTCCACAGGCAGTTTATGGTATGTGATGAATGACTTCCTCGGGACTTCTCCCATGAAAAATTCACTGTGACCAATTCTGAAAGAACAGACTTTTTTTTTTTAAATGTAATTGTATAAATAAAATTCATACAGAGATTTGCAACTTAGGTAACTCACAGGAAAGAAAAAAAAAAAAAGATTTCAAGCTCTTTAATTAAAGACCAGATCAGAGTATTGCTTACACTATGCTCTTTGTTTCTGTGCAAACATATTGATAAGGTTAAACCCTTCACTTGGGGTCTTGAAAAATACTTCTGTTGATTAAGTGGTAAACTTATCTTATTTTTCTTGGTACCTTTAAATGCATCACCTAGAATCACCTACCTTTAGTGAATTTTTACTTACTGCTTCAGTACTGGAAATCCCGATTCCCAAAGCCCCAGAAATCCCCAAAGCAAACAGAAAAACCCAGCTGAGCCTCAACAAGTACATCCAAATTCTCAGAAAATGACATATTTTCTTGATTTAACAGTAACTGTACAATATTACAAACTCAGACACATGAAAAAACAATCAGGCAATAGAAAAATGTACAACAGCTTTGGTGTTATACAAAATAATAAAAAAAGACTTGACAGCAAGATACACAGTTCGTTATGTTTTCACCACAGCCACTTCACTGCTGACTGTAAGACAGCTGTTTACTTCTCATATTCTCCGTGTGGCTCTTCTTCCACTCATGAAAAATCATACCATATTACTACAATAAGAACTGTTATGAACACCGTAAAGTAAGCTCCAGATTTTATAAAAACATCTTGCCTCTTTGCACTATTGCTTTGTGGCACATTGTTTGTCAACAGAACAACAGTCCAAAATAAAGTGACAACTAGATTTAATAAATTAATATACTTTTTTTCTTCTTTAAAAGATGTACTATGCACATTCTTTTTTAATCCAAGGTTTTAGGGTGTCAGGATACTTCTATTTACACATATACAGACCTCAGACAGTATTGATAACACCAGAAAACGCAGATAAGGAACAGTGCCTTAACTGCAATCTGGATGCTACGAGCAGAAGCCAAAACACTGCTGAGAGTATTATTGAGGGAGATATCCAAAAACTGAAGAAAAGTCTATGAACAAGGAACACGTAAAGGCAAAGGGAAGGTCAAGATGCTTTAACATGACCATTTATTCCTGTGAAGACTGAGGTGGAGTTGTTGATGCGCCTTGTTTGCCAGATTTTCGTTCATAATTCACGAGTCGTTGCCCAACAAGGTACCTAGAATTATAAAAAAACAGTGAGAAAATAACTCAAGTCATTATTGTTTTGAACCACAAAATCCATTCTATTTCATCTGTCGCAGAATTAGCTTTCTTATTTCAATAAAAGTTATTGTACACATGACCCTCCCCAGCCCAACAGTCTTCATCACTCTCCATACATTTATCTTTTTTTCCTCAACTTCCAGGTATTGCACGATGGAATATAGGTATTATGGGTTTACATTTACAGACTTAACCCTTGCAGTCATAAATTCAGACATAAATAGTCTGATTCAAGATACAAAATACAAAGAGCTTGTCTCCATTATTTATATACCCATCTCCATCATGGAATGATATTTCTGCGAACATTTTTGCAGTGTTTCCCTGAACTAACAAAACATCTGCAACAGCAACAACAAATTTCTGATACAAAACCAAATTAGAGCACTAAGGAGTTTGTAAGTTCAATAAGGAATCTGCCTCAATGCAGAACATGCATCAGGAGTACTGACAGGCTCAGTTCATGTAGTGAAAGTAAAACAACCCTGCTGATAAAAAAAGACGCTGTAAAGGAAGAGCTTTTACAATAGCTCAACCTTTCTTAAAGCTGAGAAAATAGCCTGTTACATCACGTCAGGGCTGTATGATTCCTTTGTTTAAAGTGTTGCCACATCTGACCATCCCATCAGCTTAGTATTTTTTTTCTTACATTACACATAATTGCTTACCTCCTCTACATCACTGCTTCACACACCTACTTTATGTCATCTAAGTTCTTTTCCATGCTTCCTATTTGTCTGCTGGTTTTATGTGTAAACTCATAGGAATTCTTCACCTGAAACTTCTTATTTTGTTTACAAACGTTTTTTTGTCACTGCTCCTTTTCTCACTTTACCGTAACCAAACAACTGACACGTTTTGCACATTTCATAGTATCAAAAACTTGCATATAATTTTGAAATATCTTACATGAAACAAGTATATTTCTAGACTATAATTCTCTACTGGTTAGGGTAGTTACAATACTTCAGTAAGTAAATATTGAACTAATTTACATTTACAGATATTTTCTTAGCTTTGCATGCTGCGAGAAAGCAATAAATAATATTAAAAGAAGTTGAATTCTGCTTAAAATATATTTACCTCAGAACATATACAAAAATGTACACAAGCTGCATTTGCTACAGTAGGGCAAATACTGTAGAACATTATAAAGGCAGGTGGACAACAAACAATTTTAAAAGTACTAAAATATAAAGGGAACTCATGGCTCATGTTTGTTACAACTCTAACTATTTCAATACTTCATTAATTTTACATTTACACCAAACATTTTTAATGTATCAGTTCATTCCTAACATCTAAGCTTCAAAGAAGCTCTTTTTAGGTTTGAAGTCTGACTCCTTTTGTAAACAAGGGAAAGACAACCTATTCTATGCCATCTCAGCACATTAACATAAAACTCATTTATTCATTTTCTATACAAAAGAAAAAGTAGGAAAGCAACTTGCTGGGGCTCACAACTAGCTTTTCCAAATAACCTCCACAGCAGTGGAACTGCACAGAGCACTACTTAGGAAGGGATACAGAATTATTTTTTAAAAAAGGTCCTGTGTATATTCTTTAAGTATGAGAACAAGACAGAAATATTAGTTCCAGTACTAAGAAGTGAGCAAGCAACGTCGGCTGAATAAATTGAGATATTTATTTATCTAATTTATTGTTGCTTATTGTTGCTTTCAACTTCAAAAAAAACCCAGTAGGATAGTAAGCTGCATTAAGAAAATAATGTAGCCATACAGAATGGAGTAATTTAAGAAAGGAATTGTACAGAATCTAAATAATCAATATTTCCATCTGTTAAGCTGCACCCAAATACAAAGAACTAAATCATACATACACCAGTATGCTTTGGAACAGTTCTTTCATAATTTCTGATGAATTACTGATCAATTTCAAGCAGTAAGGGCATGTTTTTAAAGGACTGAAGAAGAGCAAGTACTTGGGTAACAATTAAAACTTACAAACTAATTGGGCTAACTAGAAAAACTCTGAGAAAATTAAATTTGAACACGCATCTGAGTAAAACAGGTAATATTACTAACAGAGCTCCTAACCATTCAAAGCATCAGAAAATGGCACAAAGTTTGATGGGGCAAATTAGCCTTTCAACTGAACTTTATCAGGTTAATTGAATTAACAAGTAGAAAGAGACAGAAAAGGTTGCAGAAATGCTTTTATAAGCAACAGGTTGCATTATATTCATCTGTCTTTCAAGACTACAGAGGGGGAAATAAACAAACAACCAGCATTATTTGTGGTTACAAAAAAGCTCAAGTTAGA